ATATAATCGACATATAATTAGCCTGCAATTCTAGAAAAACTCTTCTTGCTTAGTTCATTCCAAATAATGTGTCATTGTCATACAGTAATTTAGTGAATAGTAAATATTTCTATTCCTAGTTCGAAATGCATATACATGTATTACGCGCAATCGTGTCAATAACGCCCAGGCCAATATAATAGTTCACTGGCTGATCTGGAGGGGTAGGGGTGCAGAGGGTCGAGACGAGTAAGCCGGGACGAGTTTGAAATGCCGATATTTGACCTAAATGCCAATAAAGATTCGAAATACAGGGCTAATGAAGATTCCTGGTATCCGGATTAAGTCACTGTAACATTCCTTTTGCATCAATCTTCAAAGGAAGATACGGGGGCACGGGTGGTCCAGTCGTCTAAGGCGCCGCAATTCGCTGTGCAGAGTTGCGTCCCTTGGGCACGAAAGAAACCTATGATCGTGGGTTCGAATCCCGGTTCATCCCGAATATATTACTGGGTTTGTCAGTACCATACCCGAACTCGTGAATTCACCGAAGTGCTAACCGTCTGAGACCTATATCACTTCGGACTTTCCTAACACATTAATCTGGAATACTGTTCAGAGCGGCGTTAAACACAACTCCCACGCACCCACTCACTCACTCACTTATATACTGAACAGCATTGAAAACGCACCAGCAATAAATCTTGAAATATTACAAAAACAACTTGAGCAATGACCGATTTTGATTAGAACAGACATAGACGGATTATTAAGAAAGACGACAAAGGAAACAGGAATACCACACAGTAATTACAATTACGTCATCAGTGTAAGGAAGACACATAGGGTTAAAATGAAAAGTCAATATCTGGTATGTCCGCCATTGACAGCAACACAGGCCATGCAACGTCTTCTCATTGATCGAATAAGTCTGCGAATAGTGTTCTGGGGCATTCCACTCTTGACGTAGTGTATCTTCAAGTTCTCTCAGGTTCTGTACTTGCGGACGACGTGAGAGGCGTTGACCTAGGTAATCCCATAGATGTTCAATTGGCGATAGATCGGGTGACAGGGCTGGCCATGGAAGCAGAGGCACATTATTGTTCGCTAGGTACTGTGTTGAAAACACGTGCTGTGTGCGCTCTTGCATTATCTTGCTGGAAGGTGTGCATATCCTGGTGCTGATGAAAGAATGGGATGACGTGATTTGCCAATATGTTATTCCTGTAGTAAAGGGCTTTAACTCTTCCACGACAAACATGGAGCTCTGTTCGATGGATATGACGCCTACCCCCCCCCCCCCCCCCCCCCCCCCCAATCGATCTGTCTGTACAACGCAGTCACTGTGGTAACATTCTCCACGTCGACGCCACTCTCGCAGTCGACCGTCAGCATTCCGTAAATGAAAACGGGACTCGTCAGAGAACAGCACACCATGCCACTGCCGCAATCTCTAATGACGATGCATTTTGGCCCAACGCAGACGTTCATTTCGATGTCGATCAGTGAGTATGGGTCCAACTTATGGACGTCGAGCACGTAGCCCTGCTGAGCGGAGACGTCGACGTACGGTGTCAGCACTGGTCAATTCCGTCGGCCTTGTACGGTTGCTGCAGTCCTGGTAGCCGGAAGTGTACGATCACGAAGATGCCGACGAACAATATGGCGATCCTGACGTGGTGTAGTTACACGACTTTGACCCGGACGTGGTCGATCTCTGGTGGTTTTTGTCTGCTGGTATCTGTCAGTAGCCTGAGGACTGTTGAATGATGGCATTGAAACCGTTGTGCAACGACTCTACTTGACGTACCAACTTGAAGCATGCCCAAGGCACGTTCACGTTCCTCTGCTGTTAATCTTGGCATTTCTTGTGTCAGTACCCTTTACGTCTGCAGCAACAAGTGATGTGGCTTTTAAAAGTCTGTCTTTTATAGCCCTATTCTGCATGCTTCCCGTGAAACAAAACACGTTTTCCATGATGTGCACGCAATGTGTTTTGACGAGCTGTTCTTCTTCATGCTTCGTCCAGAACGTCGTATATTACTCATTCACTTGTATATTTTCATATGACTTAAGCCCGGCTAAAAATACATCCATTTTCATGGTGGTGCGTTTTCAATGCTGTTCAGTATATCATGAGGCAATGGAGCCTCTTTTATCTGATGTAATTATGTGTTTATTTCTAATCTTGGTATCAGGCCTTTTCGTAAATATTCACTAAAAATGTACACTTCTTCATCTTTTAAAATCCGGGTAAGAATTTATCTTTAGCAATCCATGCTTGTCGTAAGGGGTGACTAACGGGATGGTCAGACTCGGTGAGCTGGTTGATTCATGTCATCGTGTCCAAATTGCCAATCACTGGATTGTTTGGTCCAGACTCGATTATTTACAGACCGACGTCTTATAGCTGGAATATTGCAGAGTGTGGTGTTAAACAACAAACAAAAAACAAACAACAGACAACTTATCAGTTATATTTTCAACGGAAGGCACTGTGCTATAATATGTTTTCTCTCGCTCGTCACCCCCCTTTCGAACTGAACATACACAACACATTATGGATGTCCTTCGGTCAATCTTCAGGTGGTAAGACGTCAAGATTTTCTGGAAACCTGTTTTATTTCTAAGCACAGGAAAAGATCGTCAACATGGGCGTTCGCGCCAGCAGTCTGCTCCACCTGTCGACACAACGTCACCTTTGTCTTGTCTGCTGGATACTTCCCGCTTGTGAATTGTAATTACAGTGTGTAATCTGTTAGCTGTCAGCACCAACACAAGATAACAGACTGCAGTGACCTCGAGGTCACTTCCGCTGCGTTACGTTGTTGGATGTTGCTGTGGAGGCTCTGTGTTGTAGAAATGCTTGTCTTCCACAGTATACGATTTGGGAATTTGGAACAGCATAGTGATAGTTCCTGTTCGAAGATGGTCGAGTTCAAATATCGACTTAAATACCACGTTGAAAAGATTTCATGGTAGAATTGGTTGTTCTGTAATAGTATCCGAATATTAATTCTCTGACTTATGTCAGACGCATTACAATTCTTATTTACTGTCTTTGTAAGGCGGAATGACACCATACTTATGTGACATCATGCGTTCTTTCTGTCCCATGATCCGATTGTCTGATACAAAGACAGTACTCTGAGTGAGTGAGTGAGTGAGTGAGTGAGTGAGTGAGCGAGCGAGTGAGAGTATGGTTTTACGCTTTTAGCAATTTTCCGGCAATATCACGGCAGGAGACACCAAAAATGGGCTTCACACATTTTACCAATGTTGGGAATCGAACCCGGGTCTTCGGCGTGACGAGCGACTGCTTTAACCACAAGGCTACCCCACCGTCCCACTTTGAGGGAGACACTACGGTCTGGTACCTGGTACCTGTGGCCAGTCTGGATCTAGACGTTGTAATGTGCATTGTACTGTTGATCAGAACAAATATATAAATTATGAATTACATTGTTTCTGTGCAATTAGAGTGCTAGTTTATTGACATGCATTATTAAATCTGAGGAAGCTTACCGACTTTCTGAGATTGCCAATTTGCCCGAGCCTAGTATCGCTTTATGATGTGAGTGTCGTCACAATGGTTTTGCACATGTTTCTATATAAACAACAGCTGTATACATGTTTTTATATAAACAATAGCTAGAAGTATCACAACGTCATTTCGCCAGGTCAGTGCAGAACTTTCACAGAAGATCGCCAAATGACGTCACGATTCAAACTCTTGGTCTGTGGACAGTAAAATGCAAGCTGGTTTACATTGGTAGATTATGAAGATCTAAATTACAACATTTCACCAAGATCTTGTTTTACTTCAGATTGACACACTACATGAGCAATAACACCCATCGTACATCGGTGATACATGAGCTACTTAACGTAGTCAAACAGTGTGTACTGTTTCATGTAATTGAAGCGTAATGACGGACATTTTCCTACAAAGGCGACACGGAGGAGAACTGTGAACAATACACCAGGAGGCTATAAAGCACGGAAACAGACAGAGAAAATATCAAGACGTCAGGATCTACAACGATTCTGAAAACATCATGAACGACTAGTTCCGCATTAACTAATGAACATATGTGAGATGTACAATGTGTATCATAGACGGATATATGCTATAGTTAAACTGATTCTCACAGCGCGGCGATGTATTCTGTATGAGAAACTGTTTGACCACTTGTCATTAAAACAGTACCTAAAAATAGAAGGCTGTGATGACCATGAAATCCAGATTGTGTCATTGCATGGTGGTATTACACCTCTTGTGGACGGGATGTCGCTTCATACGTGGGCACAATTTATTAACATCGTGGCACAGGAAATCAGTTCATGACAGCTGCAATCTATTCTGTATCTTAAACACATCATCGTGTAAAAAGTGCATGTAAATACTGACGTGCAATTCTTTCCTTGTACTCTCCGAAAATAATGGAGGAAAAAAAGATTATTCACTTATTCATCATAAACAACAGTTGTATGAATGTTTCTATATAAACAACAGCTGTGTACATGTTTCCGTTAAAAAATATTAGCATTAATGCATCGTTTCAAACAATTAGGAAGAGAACCGAGCTTCGAGACAATGACTAATTGAACTGACGCCCATGACGGCTATTATTGCCAGCATGAGTGTACATTACCATCACAACAACACTGACACTTCCGCCCCAGCCTCGTTATGGTATCAGCAACACAGCTGTGCAACATCTACCGCGCTCCTCCCCACAGTCCAGTAACCAGCCCGCAATGTATTAACTCCACACACCGAGCAATCTGACCATTAATGAGCAAGGTTCGATGTCCATGCTATTGTAATCGATGAACACACAGACACACCTGTCCCATTTCTTATGTAAAAGCCTTATGTTTTACCTTGAAATGTACATGTGTCCATTTCGTCATTAGCGACGTTCGAACGGATCTATTTCGAAGCAAAACTAAACGGAATGAAATAAACCACTCACCACGAAAAGGGGACACGAGAGAGTTCGCTTAGTACATAAAGGATACAATAGCAATATAGTTAGCAGTAGGCTCTGGTAATAAACATGCACGTGTTCATTTCAAACTACCTAATGTGCATGTGTATGTATGTAGCTGTGTGTACCAACCAGTGATCACGGCTTGGCAGCCAATTAGCTCCGTCTCTTCCATACATACTGTGGCAAAGGCTATCGATCACCTGTCTCCCATGTGCACAGGTGCGAAGAGGAAGCAAGAGATCGGTTGTTTGTCATAAACTATCTGACAATGTTTAGGATAGTACCGTTCATTGTTCTCTCTGCCGTAAGGTAAGTGTAATCTTGATCAATGTTTCTAACAAAACAACAAATGTTTACATCCTTCGCAAAATGTAAACATAGACCTCAATCACAAAATTTGATCACAACTTGATAAATCTTAATTGCTGTGCGATTATCAATAACTGTTAATAAGCAATGTTTTGTATACAGTTTGAATGTAAAATATCTGAAAGATTCGTGATCACAAACAAAAGCATAAAATCTCAGTGGCACGATCAATGGCAGTCTCAACAAGACGCAGGTGGAGTCATACGTTCCGTATGAATTATATATGATAATATTCCTAGATATGCTATAATAAACGCTTGTAAAATTGGGATATTTCAGTAAGGAAACATGTGCTTGTGCCGCGTATATCTCGATCAGGGTTAACGTGTTTGGGAACACTTAAGCCAACCTTAGGTCTATTCATGCGTGATGTATAAAATACATAATTGGCGCCGGGTCGTCCTCTACTTTTATATAGACCCGCTATGTATGGCGTCTGTCACATTCGGGCGCCGAGTACAGGCATCGTATACAATGAGGGATCATACACGAAACCCATGTAACTATACCCACACTGGCAATAAACTGTAAATAGAAGGGCTTTCTTTCGCTATTCTTAGCTGTATGATCCCCGAGCAGCTCTCCCCCCAGTCCAACACGACCAACCACTGGGCTAATGCTAGCGTTCACTTTGTTTGTGTGTATCGTTTTTCAGCTGTTGCTATTCAATGACCCGGACAAATCAGAACATGTGATCTTCATTTGAAATGTTATTTGTATGTTTTTACAAAACTATGTTTGTTTGGTAATGGAAAATTGTATAGTAAGATTACATGTCTGTACGAGAAGTGTCTTGAACAGCAGCGTAAAAGTGCTAGCGTTGTCGTTGACTGCTTAATATATATTCATGTCTTTCAATTCTTAATATATATGTATGAAAGTGCAAAAAATATAAAAAAACGTTTCATGTTTGGTTATACAGAGGGACAGCATATTTCATTTACTGTGGTTCAAACTTTGTTCCATGTGAACTTGCAAAACATCGAAAAAGACATTTGAAAAGAAAAACAGTAAAACAGTAAAACATTGAAGCAATTGCCAATCAAATAATCCTGGGACTCGACAGATCCGACCGATCTAAGGACCTTCCGAAATAAGATAATATCCGCCGCTTATTCAAGGATTTATTTAAATGTTTGGATGTGACGTTGGGTATATATGATATAGATTCTGTATTCGAGAAAGGGGTTCTTCTGGTATTGTTTCAGTTCAGTTATGAAATTTTGAAATGCACACTCCAGAACACATGTTGACTGAACATATATTCTGTCGTTAGATATTGTAATCCCCAAACCGTTTAGCTTCAGCCGACCCCCGTTATCCACACATTGAAGGGCCAGCTTTCTTTGAACAAATTAATGACTGTAGTTCTTTGTCAAAGTTTCCAGTCATTATTATACTGAACGTCCTAAAAAGTAAGCTCACTGTACATGTGCTGCTTGGAATGGCATCTCGTGTCAGAGGGGAATGAAGATGACCTGTATAATCGGAGCATCTGTAGTTGATGACTCGCGTGGATTTGAAATATCTTTAATATTTATAGTTGGGCAGGCTGTTGTTTATCAATGGTCACAGGCATGCCGATTTGCCCACCAGAACATCTATATGATTATTTATATTTGTAAAGTTGCTACACTACCAGAGTTCTCAATCTCCCTACCCCTTCCCTTCCACGACCTCCCCCCCCCCCCCCCCCCCCCCCCCCACGGACAACACTCCCCACCCACCCCACCCCCCACCCCCCCACCTCCCTGAGAGTAAATTCGCACTGCGGATTAAATCTAAGTCTAATCCTAATAGAGAGGAAGCATTGATTTTATTGAATCCCTTTACCGCATATATACTTTGTGTGTGGTTACACACTGCACATGCCAGTTTCGCCGTGGGTTCATCTTCTCCTTCATCACCACGTAACATCCACACCGTGTACCACATTTCGCTTCACATGCAAGTTATTATCTGAAGCTAGATTTATAATTCATGCAAATGTAACTAACACAAGTAAAACAAGAATCAAACTCAACAGAACAATCCCAATTTGATTTCCCACGATCCTGGGTTATACAATGAAACTCCGATAGTACGGACCGCGTTTATCGGGACACCCTACTTTCCGGACAATTACACATAGGAAGGTTTATATGTATGTATGTATGTATGTGTGTGTGTGTGTGTGTGTGTGTGTGTGTGTGTGTGTGTGTGTGTGTGTGTGTGTGTGTGTGTGTGTGTGTGTGTGTGTGTGTGTGTGTGTGTGTGTGTGTGTGTGTGTGTGTGTGTATGTATGTATGTATGTATGTATTCAAAGAATATGACTCTTTTACAGTGTTTCGTTTATCCGACAGCTCGTTAATCCGTACGATTTCTGTCCGAAAGCCATCTTCCGGAGTAACGAGGTGCTTGTATATACAACGAAAATTAACACAATGTGAAGTCACCCTTTGTTTGACCCCACAGAGATAATCACTTAAATAGCAGTGATAACACATTCCACCACTCTGTGAAGTGGATGCACGTTAACACAAGCAGTATGTCAAGAAGAATGTATCAAAGACTGGTATAGATGGCATACATTTCATCAAGGGAGTGATGGGGACCCTGTTTGCATGTCTAAACAACAGGAAAACAGCTGTTCCAGGGCGGATTCGGATCGTCAAAAATGAACACTGATCGCTATATCTGTATCAACACGCTTAAACCAGTTAGACCCTGAACGTGAAAGCATAACCAATATGTTTACTGCCCTAAAATGTTGTTAAAAAATAACAATTTTTACATTTAATTTACAAAATTACGAATTATTACAAAAGAAATTTTAAAAAACGTTTGTTAGACGACGTTTAGGAGGACAATGGCATATGAAGAGCTTAATGGTGTATGTTTGGTAGTACAACATGTGTGACCCTTAACATAAATATGGTTACTAAACACATTGTTGCCCGGAGCTATAAACACTGCTTTGAAGACTATAAACAAACAAACAACTATACATTCGAAATCCCGTCGCAAAGTTACCGTAACACACCGTTTGACCTGCAGCCGTGATTAGACTGTACAGTGTTAACGTTACGGGTTCAGAGGAATTCATCCTTGAAATCAACATCTCCCACAGGGGTGTTGATTACATAAACCTCCAGCTATGATTAACTGGGTTATGCTTGTAATTGTGCTATTGACAAGTACTGGGACTGAATAGGTGTTGAACATGTGTGTTGATTACAAATTCGATAGCGGGAACAGGTCATTGGTCACATGAATGACAGTTAGTCTGTATGACAAGGGGAAGGGATCACAAAGGGGAGACTCGTGCTGGAACATGTGGAAGGTTGAAATAACATGGTTATCATTTCACAGAATGTTGAAGCATTCATTTTAATCCCTTCTTCAAAGGAAGGCCCATTTGTATTGCTCAAGTGGATAACCCAAGATCCCCATGTCACTTATGCATGGTACATGGTGTGGCTAGCTTGTATGAACAAGGAAACAGCGTGATCACTATCCCCCGCCATGGACACATCAGAATTTTGTTTGTTCAAATGATAGTGAACAATATGGAAGTTAATGTTAACTATAAATATTAAGGGTCCAATAAAGCATTAAGAAGAGATTGGCACAAAGGTCGCTTTATGTGATCCGATTTTTCTTATTAAATGTGAAATTAATACAGGCCCCTTCTCTAGAAACAATAATTAATGGCACCGATTTTCGAACTCGGTCTTGTTAAGTGTCTCTTAGATAAGCATGCAATGTTACGTAAAATAACACGAATGAAGGTCGGTAACTGTGTTTCAAAATATTTTACGACACCAATTTTCGAACCCAGTCTTGCCAACTTTCATTCATGTAACTTCAATAGTTTCTGAGAAAACTTTCCCTTTTTCATGCCGTATGCGCAAAGTTGAAAAGCATTCTGTAAAAACTAAATTTAAGACACCTATTTTCAAACTCATTTAAGATCATTAATGTTAGTGTGTAAAATTCCATTTCTCTATTGTTGAGAAAATCTGTCCAGTGTCAGTTATTACCCGGCAGCATTCCTATGGCTGTTGTATTTTTGTCTCTGTGTAGTTGGGCATACTATGACCTGGAAGATTGATATATTTGAGTCAACAGACAAAGTTGTGTTTGAATTCTTTTATTACTGAGAGAGTCCGAACACCTTTAAACCGACATGTCGTTGCTACAAGCATATCTCGGACAGAAATAAAGGTCAGTCCCGCATTGTCACGAGGCTCCTACCACAGATGAATGGGGAGACAGGAAGATTATCCCAGAAGTTTGCGGTGGGTTCATCTTCTCCTTCATCACCACGTAACATCCACACCGTGTACCACATTTCGCTTCACATGCAAGTTATTATCTGAAGCTAGATTTATAATTCATGCAAATGTAACTAACACAAGTAAAACAAGAATCAAACTCAACAGAACAATCCCAATTTGATTTCCCACGATCCTGGGTTATACAATGAAACTCCGATAGTACGGACCGCGTTTATCGGGACACCCTACTTTCCGGACAATTACACATAGGAAGGTTTATATGTATGTATGTATGTATGTATGTATGTGTGTGTGTGTGTGTGTGTGTGTGTGTGTGTGTGTGTGTGTGTGTGTGTGTGTGTGTGTGTGTGTGTGTGTGTGTGTGTGTGTGTGTGTGTGTGTGTGTGTGTGTGTGTGTGTGTGTGTGTGTGTGTGTGTGTGTGTGTGTGTGTGTGTGTGTATGTATGTATGTATGTATGTATTCAAAGAATATGACTCTTTTACAGTGTTTCGTTTATCCGACAGCTCGTTAATCCGTACGATTTCTGTCCGAAAGCCATCTTCCGGAGTAACGAGGTGCTTGTATATACAACGAAAATTAACACAATGTGAAGTCACCCTTTGTTTGACCCCACAGAGATAATCACTTAAATAGCAGTGATAACACATTCCACCACTCTG